AACTCCCTTAGCTCCTCCCCACTGCTCCAAGGCCTGATATCAGGGATCAACTCCCTTTGGCTTTCACCGCTGCTCCATGCCTCAGGAGCCTCCTGGGGGCCAACCAGCCTCTCTGGTCCCTGCTCCGAGTCCGAACCCTGTCCAGGGTACTCCACATCTTCTAGAGCTGACTCATAGGGCCCCTTGCTGTCGGAGTCTGTTTGCAGCTCCAACGGCTCCTGCTGGGCCACAACAGTAAGCTATCTACAGCAGCCCCACGGCGAGATAGACGGCAACTAAATTTAACAAACAAACAAATCCCCTACTTTTCCGCAGCAACTGCTATTTAAGGATTTGTAAGCTTATGATTCTGGAGCTTGGAAAAGGTCAATGAGATGAATAGCCATTCACATTTGATCTCCCCAAAATGGGCTTAGATTTCAAAACCAAACTGATGGCCATGGTTATAATTAAGGGCCAAATAAAAAAAAATTGGGACCACTTAGCTTGGGTGAACATAAATCTGGGATAGATGTCAGGAGGATTCTAAAAATTGGACTGATAATTGCTTTCTGCAACCACGGACTACAAATGACTAGAGACTAATTTCCCAATGCAATCTATTTTTTTTTTAACCCATGACTCTACCCAAATTTGCTTACCGCAGCAGGCTTGGGAGGGGTGCACCTCATTGGGGAATGTGATTTATGACACAGACTGAGGGGAGGGAAGGGACAGGGGTAAAGTTCAGCTATATTTTAAACAAAGCTCAGATATGACTGCAAAAAGGCCTTGCCTAATGGTGCTCCTAATAAATGACTAGTTTTGTATTGAAACTTGGCTCGATACTCATGAATCCATTAGGGCATTTTTAGGGAACCTGACAGCCTTCTGAGTTGGGAGGAACAACTCAAATTGTAGATGTTCCTCGTCGACGCACGTGGATTTGAAAAGTTATTATGATTTATGTTACCATCCCAGGATATGAGAAGCTATTATTGTCACTGTTGCCATCCCAGTGACACAAGCTGGTCCTCAGGAAGCTTGCTGTCTTACTTGTTAAGGTTCTCCAGGGCAGCCGCTAAATGTTTGGAGTCGAATCTGCAGGAGTAGTTAAGTTCGTTGCCTATTTGGCGTCTTAAAATTTGCATCTGGCCAACCTAGGGAGAAGATGATGAGAATCAAAAGACCCCCCCAAATGAAAATGAATGAAATAGGAGTAAATAGAATTTATTTCCTAAAACATCCTGTTTTTTTAAAACGGACACTGTGGATTACCAAAGAAAAGTTACCATTATAGCCCTCTGGAAGATTTTCCCAAGACATCCCAGATGTATTGATCCTACAATTTTGTCAGGGTAGTGATTTAAGAGCTGACCACTGCTGCAATGATGGGAATGAATCAGCAAGGTTTTTGGCTGTTATCCCTTTAAGAGCCTGTATAATAAGAAGAGGCCCTGTTAGGGCGTCTCTCTCTCGCTGGGTTTTTCAATGCTATAATTGCTGATTGTTTGACCTTTGCCTATAGTACGTGTATATATAGTATATATTCTTTTGTAGATAGAACCACTATTATATGACAAACCTGTTTGATGTTATTGCCCCTGGGTTGTCTCACATAGTAAAGCTGTGCACATTCTGATAAACTTCCAAAATCCTCATTCATTCAAAAAAGGGTAATGTAGGAAAGAGTACCCTAATTCTCTACATTATAATTCAGAAGACTCAACTGAGTTCTAGGAGAATTGCTCCCAAGTACAGTGTGTGATTCTGACATTAATGGAGCTTCAGCTAACTTAGCTTTTCTTACAGCAATCAAAACTTCATGTTTTACTCTCCTGTTAAAGAGCAACATGGCTGTTTCATTTTATTTACGTACATATCCATATCTTCCCAATCTCCAGGTATAGACAAAAGCCTGGGATTTTCTGATTGGCTCCTACCCAAGAATTAACTGGATCCAGCTCTGTTTAGTTTTTTCAACATCAGAGATTGTGAGGACGTCTAAGTTTTCAGAGACATCCTCAAGGTGAGATCCAGGTGGATTCCGCTGGTAAGGTGCAGCTCCCAAACTTCTCTCAGCTGGAGGCTCACCAGGTGTTCCCTCCCTCAGGACTGATATAGCCAAAGTACCTTCATAATTGTGTCCAGGTAGGCAGCCCAGATCTTCTGTGTTTTGGTAATTGCTGTAGAGTAGACTCTATTACAATTGGCTGCAATGGAACATTGAGAGAAAAATAAGTTTTAGAAGTGTCTTCCCATCCCTCTCTTTAGGATAATTATTCTGTTTCCACGACCACATAAAAATACTCTGAGGGCAGTACAGGTAGTCCTTGACATACAACAGTTCCTTTAATGATTGTTCAAAGTTACAGCAGCACTGAAAAAATCAACTTGTGAAAGTTTTTTTCAAAGTTACGACCTTTGCAGCATCCCCATAGTTATGGGATCAAACTTCAGATGCTTGGCAACTGGTTCATACTTATGACCGTTGCTGTGTCCCAAGATCATGTGATCCCCTTTTGCGACCTTTGGTCACAAAGTCAATGGGGATCCAAGATTCGTTTCGCAACCAGGTTACTAACCCAACTTCAATGTTTCACTTAATAACTGTGGCAAGAAAGGTGGTAAAATGGGGAAAAACCCACTCAAAAATGTCTCACTTAACAGCATAAATGTTGGGCTCAATTGCGGTAGTTAAGTTGAGGACTGCCTGTATTTCTCATCCTTGGAATCTTTTCAGATGTGGGTGGACTTCAGCTTCCAGAATTCCCCAGCCAGTATTCCCACCCAGCCATGGTAACAGCTGTCCACCAATGCCAGACACCCCCTCCCCTCCAGCAGGGTGCGGAACCAAAGACTTGTTCCAGTATTTGAGGATCTGTCACAGAGAGAGGGGGTGTGTGTGTCAACCTATTTTCCAAGGCACCCAAAGGCCAGAAAAGGAATAACAGATGGAAACTGACCAAGGAGAGATTCAACCTAGAAATAAGGAGGAACTTGCTGACAGTGAGACCAATCAATCAGTGGAACAGAAGTTGCCTTTGAAAGTTGTGGGAGCTTCATCCCTAGAAGCTTTCAAGAAGAGACTGGACTGCCAGTTGTCAGAAATGGTGTAGGGTCTCCTGCTTGGACGGGCTGGGCGGGCTGGGCTAGATGACCCACAAGATCCCTTCCAATTGTGCTAATCTCTAGGCGCCACAGCAGAAAAGTCTCTCTTTCTGGGTTTCACCGGATGACACTCTTTCACAATATGGTGCTTCTACTGGTCACTAACAAGTAGTCCTCAACTTATGATCTTTCATGTAACGACAGTTACAATGGCCTTGGAAAAAGTGAATTATGATCCATCCCCAATGTTACGATAGTTGCATCACCCCTGTGGTCACATGATCCCAATTTAGGCACTTGGCTTGTTTCTATAATGATTGTAGTGTCTGGTGGTCACCTTCTGCCACCTTCCCAGCCATCAGGTTCAGTCCTGTGAGGACTCCTTTAATGACTGCATTGCTTAGTCACCAAAATTCTGATTCCAACTGTGGCCATATGTTAAGGACTACTTACATTAGGCAGGGACAGAAAGAGAGAGAAGATGATAGTTGGCAAGGCAGTAGATTGTTTCATTTTCCAAAATTGATCTCGTGACCAAAACTGGCTTATTCCAATAGGAACCCTTAAAAGCCATTCAAGTCCTGGACATTTTCTAGCCCAGGGTCCTGTTTGAAGGAACTTACCCAGGGGTGAAATGCTACCGGTTCGGACTGATTTGACCGAACCGGTAGCAAAAAAATGCTACTGTAGTGAGGTATCCCGGCTGTCTGACTACCAGTTCGAGGGAAGTGGTATTTCCAACGGATCAGCTGTGACACCCGATTTATATTAGCGAGAAAGCATTATTTCCTGCTTTCTAGCTATTCTAAATCGCGTGACACAGCGGATCTCCCACCCGCCCCTGGTCACTGTCCTACATACCTTTGCAGGCGCTCGGTAGCGGGCTTTACCCACCCACCCACCCAGACATCATCATATCCATTTTTTATGCTCTCCGCATGTGTGGAAGGTCCTGTGCATGAGTGGAGGTGGCGGGTGCGAACCAGTAGCAAAGGTAAGTAGATCTCATCCCTGAACTTACCCACAAGTCCTTTCAGGGGGCTGACACTCCTCATGAGAGACTTCAGGGCTTCATGGACCCCTTTATCGCGCAGCACTATTTTCTGAAACATGATGAGGAAATTCTGGCAAGAAAAGAAAGAGACGCTTTGGGATATTCTGCAGAAAGGCCCACTGTGGTTGCACAGGCCGCATTTCGTATGGCACAAATAATCTAGAAGAGTGACAGCTAACTTTTTGTCATTATATGCGGAAAGCGAGCACCTGCGTGTCTGCACCTGTAGTGCAATACGCACGTAACACCCCATGCTCTCCACACCTGCGCATGTTTGCATGACCCCTTGCACTCCTCCCACTCCTGTCCATGTACATGCAACCCAGTGTGTGCCTGACCCTGTTTGGGCCTCCCTGCAGCCTCCTGGGACCAAAGACGGGCTGCCAGGGGGTGGGGGGGAACACCGCCCCCTGCATTCCCCCCAACCCCCATGCATGCGACTTCCATGTGCGGCAGAGACTCGAAAATCAGTTGACAGGCAAGTGTGCATGCACGGTGGAGCTGAGCTGGGGCAATGGCTCGCACGTCTGCAAAGAGGGCTCTATGCCAGTGATGGCGAACCCGTGGCAGACGGAGCCATTTGTCAGGGCACACAAGGCGCGCGCTGGCCAGCTGAGTTCACCCTTTTTTAAAGCCATTTTTTGCCCTCCCCAGGCTCCAGAGGCTTTATAGGAGCCTGGGGAGGGCGAAAAGAGCCTCCCCCCTCCGGAGGCCCAAAAAACCGGCCCTATGGGCAAACAGGAAGTTCAGGAATGGACTTCCTGTTTGCTCGGAGGGTCGTTTTGATTGCTCCGGAGGCTTCAGGGAAGCCTCCTGAAAGTCCCTGAAGCCTTCAGAGCGCTCAAAATGATACTCCGAGCAAACCGGAAGTGACTGAAGCCTCTGGAGGGCTTGGGGGGGGGGGGGTATTCGGAGGAGGCTGTTTTCTCCCTCCCCAGGCTCCTATAAAGCCTCTGGTGGGCGAACAAAGCATGCAAAAAATGGGGGGAGTGCCTGTAGTGCGCGCATGCGCATTGGGGGAATCGCGCATTGCATTATGGGTGCGGCACGCCCGCACACACCCCTCCCCTGAACTCCCCCCCCCTTATGGCACACGAGCCAAAAATGGTTTGCCATTGCTGCTCTATGCCATAGGTTCACAATCATGGATCTAGAACTGAACCCAGGATCTTGCTTGTAGCTGTGTTTTTTTCAACTTTGGCAACAACATTAAAATGTATGGACTTCCAAAGAATGCTGGCTGGGGAATTCTGGGAGTTGAAACCCACAGATCTTAGCATTGCCATTTGTGAACTGGGGCCTGGCTGGGTCCTGGTTACCTGCAGCTCTTTGACAATCATGAAGCAGAGAAGACGGTCTAACCCGTTGAGACCAAAGGTACCCAAAGTGTTCTGGATCTCGGCCAGTAAGCGATTGTTGGAGACTTCCTGGTGAGTTTTCATATCATACCAAGTGTTAAGTTGGTCAATATAGCAGGCAGACCTGATGGGAAACAGATAAACGGATAAGCAGCTGCCACTGAAGGAAGGAATTGAATTGAATTGAATTTATTGCATTTATATGCCGCCCTTTTCCCTGAAGGGGACTCAGGGCGGCTCACAATCCAAGTCAGGAAAGGGGGTACAGACAAGGGATAAAAAGACGAACTTAACACTACACAATTCAATTCAATTCAATTCAAGGTTCTTTCAGCA